CTCCTCATGTGTATTACCAGCATATTTAGCTACATGTGCACCAAATTCAGAAGTTATGGCTGATTGCCAAAGGGCATGTCTAAATGCACCATTTTCACTGCCCTCATCTACTTGCCGTATATTAGATCCATATAAAACTTCACCTCGTGTAGCAAATCTGGTTGCATTCGTAGATATATTTGAAGCACCTTTAGTAACTCCAAAACCGATTCTCATTGCGGCTATCGGATGTCTCAGGCCGAACCCGATATATCTTGAATTAATACTAGCGGAATAATATCCGGGTTTGTTAGGATCTTCAGGACCCATGCCAGTTGGGTCAATCAGCTTTGTAGGGTTGTTCATGGTATAGTTATAAGGAGACCAACCATAAAATTCTTCTGCCAATGGGTCAACTTGCCACCACTTTCCAAGTTGCATATCCTGTACCCTTGCACCAAAATCATAGACATTCAGACCTAACTCCTCTTGTAGTTCTTTGGTCGTCAATTTATACTTATTTTTTTCATTGTTACTAGCTGAAGCTGAACTCAGTGTCAGGCCAAAAGGATAATAATCGGTCACTTATTTTAAGATCACATAAATAAAAATCTCTATTAGCTATTTGAGGGGAAGATTACAACTAGGACAACCATGTACTTCTTATTTGGTTTTAAATTCAGTAGGTCTGATATTGGCCAGTTGCTGAAAATTATTGCTAAACACTGCAATATTCGAATAGCCAATTTCATAGGCTATCGCCGTTTAGGTTCCCATAGGCACCAAGGCCAAGGGTGTTTTTAGGTTCTACCGCCAAGGTATACTTCCGTCCGGATCACCTTGCTGCTCCACAGGAAAGCAAAGTGCAGAAAACAAAGAATAAATCCAGTCATAGAGGATTGTTGTTAATTATCCCTATCCAATCACTTGGATAGGGATAGATACTAACTAAACATAGTCTACCACAAAGGTGATGTTGCCCGAGGCTTCGGTCCCAAACGTATTGTTCGGCTGTACCACCAAAGTGGCCTCATTTCGGATGATCTTCGAGCTTTCCGGTGCAGCCACCGCACTCTGGTCCAGCATGACCGGTTGCCTGCTGCGCATGGCCACGCTTACGGTCATGCCGGAATATTCAAGCCATTCGGTAGGCAGGCCGTCAAGGTAGCCCTGCTGGGGAACACTAAGATCAAACTTGCTTTCCAGCCAGCCCTTGAAATCGCCTTTGGCATCATTGGCTTCATCATTTAAAAGGGTGTCGGAAAGATTGTACAGTTCTTCGAATAGATCGGCAACGCCGATCTCAGAAAAAGGATAGAGCATAAAATTTGGGTTATAGGTTAAAAATTGATTATTCCTAAGATAAGCCACATCAGCATTACACAATTAATGGGTAACAAAATTGTTATGCATTTCAGATATTTTTATAAAGGGCTTATTTTCGGGAAACGCTTTGTCCGCTTGAGTAGATGCCCCTAACCCCTGTTACTTATAAAGACCTACCAGTCAGAATTATTTTAGCGCTAACCGGCGCATTTATTTTCACCGTGTACGGTGAAAAGGAGAACAGCTTGGAGCTGTTGTTGCTCCCCGAATTCTATCCGGCTTTTTTTACTAGCCTGGTCATCGCGTTGGTCGTTATACACTATATCTATTTTGCCAATACTTTTCTCAATGTGAAATACGACTGGCAAGGGGCCACGGTGCAGCGACTGCTCCTACAGTTGCTCTTTGCACTGATCGTTCCATCCCTACTGGCCTTCGGCATGGCGGCCACCTATTTCCGGTATAACATGGTTGATCT